TCAAGAAAGTTAAAATGTGCTCATTATTATCAATGAAAATGTAACCCAGGATCAAAGATCCAGAGCTTGGTGTAAGAAAATCATCACAAAAGCTGAAAAGTGTAGTTTGTTTAGATCCAGCTCTCCTGTTTGCCACTTCAAATCATATTTTTATTACTGTTATTAGATGCAGACAAAGTTCATGGAACAAGTTGTGGTTGGTCTTTAACGTGACAGCTCCGGAGGTGGCTCTGTCAAGGAGCTTGTTCACCAACTGTAAATCCAGTCCATCCCAGGCAGCCTGCGCTCATGGGTCTCCACCCTTCTGTGCAGTGTGACCGCTAACTGGCCTGGAATCCTGGGCTGGCGTTCAGGCTCTCCAAGACTTTTACCCATCTCCATATGTGGAGCACATCGTCCAGCACCTTCCTGCCCAGGACCCCTGGTGGAGCAAGGAGAGCGTTAGAGCTGCTGGGGGCGGGGGTTGGGGGGTTGTGGACCCCAGTTGTTCTGGGAGCCTAATCTTTAGCTTGGAAGTTAAAATCCTGGTCACTTGTGAGCGCATGCTACATGAGACAGCGTCTTTTTCATTTTTTAACAGTGATTTCCATTCGTTCTTTGTTCTTTGTGCGAAGATGTTGCAGTTTATACATTATTGAACAAACTGTAGAGGAAGTCATTACTTGGTGAAAAAATGTTACTTAGAATCACGTAATACAGCATGCCAGCAATCACAGAGATTTTCTGATGGTCTCATTCTAGATATTCTCATCCGTAATACGATTCATGCAGAGCACAGTGCAGCAAAGCCTCCAACCAAAACGCTCAAGCACCAAATAAAATCTGTGAAGTTGGATTTTATGATTAATGGGAGAATGGAAAGAAAAGCCCATCATTTGAAGTAATGTCAAATCTTGCTGAAACACCCAGTACTCCCCCATGCTTCAGGTCCCATGTAGCGGGGTCTGGAACTGCCTGGTATCCTGTATGTATCCAGCTCCCATACTTAAGAGAGAGGGTGTTGGAAAAGGGGTGTGGCCCAGCAGGGGCTGCTGCTCTTGGGTTCTTCTTTCTGTCCACAGCCCAGGCTATCCCAGGAATTCATGTTTGGGCCAAGATGAGCAGGCCTTATGGGAAAGTGTGTTCTTCCAAAATATGGCACAGAGAAGGTGTGAATTAGAAACACTGGTTAATGAGGGCTTCCAGTCCACCACGTTTGGTTAGTTACTGTTTACTTATAGTGGGTAAAGATTGCCTGAGACTTTGCAGAAGAGTGTGAGGATTTGCCTCTCCTGCTGGGAAAATGTGTAAAGTTCTAAGAGAAAGAAAAATCCCATTATCTTTGTTAAAAAATCAAAAACACACATTGGAATTCAAGGTGCTTTTGCTACAGCTGGGAGAAGTAGATGGTATGACTTGAATGAAAGAAGAAGAAATAGAGCAGATGTGTGGGCAAAATAGCCACAGGAAAGGGGGGGAGGCTGTGGAATTCCTACTCTGCCTCCTTCCCTAGAGGGTAACAGGTTTCCCTTTAAATTAAATGTTGCCTGGAGCGTGGACACTGTGCGGTGTTTTGGGGCTTTGGGCTGGGTGGGCACAGCCATCCTCTGAGACGTCCGTGAACCACACTGCCTGTTCTGCATTCAGAGATTTCCCTTTGAGCCTTTGAGATCTCATAGCTGCCGCATGGCAGTGGCCTCGTGGCCTCATGGTTACTTGTGATACGTTTCTTATCCCAAATCTTCACTCCCTGAACCTCAGCCCAGCTTCCACCTAGAGACGCGGGCCATTTCCTTTCCCTAGGATCAGAGGGAGCACTCATCATGGCTTTGGAGGGTTTTATGGAAAGTGAGGATAGACTTTTGACACTCCACAGACCTCATGCATTTACCATAGAAATCATGGTACAGGGTCTTCTGATCCATGCTCATGGATTAAATAGACCTTTATTGGTGCACGAGTCTGCACCACTTCACTGGCTGTATGTGTTGGGCCAGTTCCCTGATCCCCCTCAGCCTCAGTTCCCCCCCTGCAGAAATGGGGGGATTCTTACTTTGTTACGGGACTGTTGGGAGTGTTCAGATCATGTAGGTGTCAGTAAGGTCAGGTTCCTCCCAGACACCTGTCTCTTGAATTTCACTGCCTCTGCAGCTATATGTGACAGTGCTCCCATGGAATAATGGTTCTCAGGTGCCAGAAGCTCGCCAGGCAAGCTTTCTATTTTGGTGGCCATCTCGCACGGGTAAAGTTGTTGCCAAGACTGTTCAGAGGACTTTGGCCCTCTCCTGATAAAATACGTCTGAGAAAAAAAGAAATTCCAAGCCCTCACTCAGTCAGAGTAGTAATTGTTATTCATAGAGCGCTCCCTGTGCCTTATATTACGTCTGCATTTAGGTACCTGTTAGGGGCTGAATTATGTCCCCCAGAATTCATATGTTGCAGTCTTAACCCCTAGTAAGTCAGTGTGTGACTAGACTTGGTAAAGGTCCTTTAAACAGGTCATTGAGTTAAAACGAGGTCTTGGGGGGGGGTGGGTCCCAGTCCAGTGTCACTGGTGTCCTGTAAGAAGAGGAAATTAGGACACAGACATGCAACGAAGGGAAGCCCATGTGAAGACACAGCAAGAAGGTGGCCATCTGCCAGCTAACGAGGGAGGCCTCAGAAGGAAACAACCTTGCCGACATCCTGATATTTTGACTTCTAGCCCCCCGAACTGAGAGAATATCAGGTTCTGTTGTTAACGCCCCGTGGGCTGTGGTACTCTATGGTGGCAGCCCCAGCACACTGACACAGTGCCACTCTCTAAGGTCTAATGCTGTCTCTTCTGCTCATCTTGACACCTTTCTGTGCCGATGAGTATTCTGAATCCTGCTCTTCTGTACATATTTTCTCAAGTAGCTTTCATTACTCACAAATTTGGAAAGATCTATTAGAAAGTTATTTATAGGAGCGCCTGGGTGGCTCAGTTGGTTAAGCGTCTGACTCTTGGTTTTGGCTCAGGTCATTGTGTCAGGGTCGTGAGATTGAGCCCCATACCGGGTTCTGTGCTCAGCAGGGCGTCTGCTTGAAGATTCTCTCCCTCTGCCCTTCCGCCCCTCCCCTCACTCACACACATACACACACACACTCTCTCTCTTTCTCTCTCTCTCTCTCTCTCAAAATAAATAAATCTTTTTAAAAAATGTTATTTGTAAATATTATTTCTTGAAGTCTTGTTACCAGTAGAAATTGTCCTCTCCCTGGTCATTGCTGCCTTAGCATGCGGACTTCTTGATGAGGCTTAGAATACCTTGGTGCCCGAGCCTTCTGGACAGAAGTGTACTTTCATGAACGGTCTGCCTTCTGGATTCTGGAGCTAGTGAACCACCACAGTGCTCTCTCATGCATAGCTAAATTAATGTGGGTTTGAAATCGCATGAGAGGATTCATTTGAAGATTTAGAGGTTTATGTTTTCATGTGAAGTGAGTTAACTTGTAAGTAGAAGTCTAAAATCTTAACTTGGTTTAATATCCTGGTTTACTTTTGTATTTCCTATATGCTTGAATAAAATGTTGTATAAAAAAACACACACAGAAGCCATTTGTTTAAAGAATTGGTATGTTCGCCTAAAAACCTTGTGAACAGTCCCTTCACATCGCTGTGCCGTCCGAAGGCCTTTCAGTGGCTGGCCCCCGCTGGAGGCACTGAGCGGGGCTGCGGAGTCTTAGACCAGGGGTGAACCTGCTCTAGGAGGCAGTGTGCAACACTCCAGAGTGGAGGATGATCACAGGGCAACGTTTTGTTCCCCTTGAACTCCTGCCCATCAACACGGGAGTAGAAGCAAAGGTAACTCTTAGGATCATTCTGTCTTTACTCCATTTAAAGGAAGAAAATGAGAGGTACAAGCTACCCATAAAAGTGTCATGGGAAGGGGAGGGGGGGAGAATCTGCAAATGGCCAGAGTTTCCATACCATCAAAATCTCCACATTGACCAAGTTAGGAGGTGATGCAGAGCTGGTGGGTGGCAGCCATCTATTAAGAAAAGCTGGGGAGCATGGCCCACCCTACAAGTCTGGTGGCACACCGCAGCTCTGAGCGTTGATGCGTCTTCCTCCCCTAGGCTCACTTCTCAAGAAGGTTCCAGAATTTTCTGCATTCTACCCGGGCTGAAACATTTTTGCCTTAGGGCTTTTCACACTGTTTTCCCCATGCCCAGGAAGAAGTTTCACACTGCAACTCAGCACTCAGTCCCTTATGTAACTGAAGCAACAGACTATGCTTGATGCACTTTGAGATTTTCTTATTCCCTTAAAGAAAACCAAAACAACTCAACACACACATACAAGATGGTCACAATCCATTCAGTTGATTTTATGATCCACTAGTGGGTTTTGAATCACAGTATGAAAAATTCTGCCTTAGACTTAACAGATCAACTAATTTTTTCTAATTGGCTCATCACATGTGGGAAACGAGTCTCTTGTTTTGAAAGGAGAGAATTGCAGGAAGAGAAGGGAAGGAGGGTATTGGATTGTACCCAGTGGGGCCAGTCTGCTGCCAGGCAGCCCTGGGAGGGTCTTGAGTGTCCCTGGAGTGGTGCAGGTGGTGGGCGGGCAAGGTGGGAGCAAGGTGGGCAGCTCTGACCGCTCCTAGACTTGGAGCACGTCTGAGTTCATCAGTCCAACGGGTACAAGAAGGCCGAAGACATCCTGTCTAAGCCTTTCTACCTTATTTTTCTCTCTGAGGGGCACAGGAATTTTCTAAAAAGTATCATCCTTCAGAAGGAAACTAGTTTTCTGCTGTTTTGTTATCTTTTTGTGCTGCTAGTACTCTGGTATTCTTTCAGAAGTGAATGAGAGAGAGGAGGTGTCGGAATTCCCAGCTTTTGCCAAGGCGCACCTCACCTGCACCTCCTTTTGCCCGGCGGTGGCTGTAGGGTGTGCCCACGGTAGCCCCCGTGTGTTGGAGGGATGGGGAATTGTGTCCAAGCGCCAGTGATGCCCCCTGCGTGCCCACTGAGCCCTCGCTCTGTCTCCGCAGGCCTCGGCAAGACCAAGAGGAAGACGAGTGCACGGGACGCGTCCCCGACGCCCAGCACGGATGCCGAGTACCCTGCCAATGGGGGCGGCGCCGACCGCATCTACGACCTCAACATCCCTGCCTTCGTCAAGTTCGCCTATGTGGCCGAAAGGGAGGACGAGCTGTCCCTGGTGAAGGGGTCACGTGTCACTGTCATGGAGAAGTGCAGCGACGGCTGGTGGCGAGGCAGCTACAATGGGCAGATTGGCTGGTTTCCCTCCAACTATGTCCTAGAGGAGATGGACGAAGCGGCTGCCGAGTCCCCCAGCTTCCTGAGCCTGCGGAAGGGCACCTCCATGAGCAATGGCCAGGGTGCCCGGGTTCTGCACGTGGTGCAGACACTGTACCCCTTCAGCTCGGTCACTGAGGAGGAGCTCAACTTCGAGAAGGGGGAGACCATGGAGGTGATCGAGAAGCCCGAGAATGACCCTGAGTGGTGGAAGTGCAAAAACGCCCGGGGGCAGGTCGGCCTAGTCCCCAAGAACTACGTGGTGGTCCTAAGTGATGGGCCCTCCCTGCACCCCTCGCACGCACCGCAGATAAGCTACGCGGGCCCTGCGTGCAGTGGGCGCTTTGCGGGCCGAGAGTGGTACTACGGGAACGTGACGCGGCACCAGGCCGAGTGCGCCCTCAACGAGCGGGGCGTCGAGGGTGACTTCCTCATTAGGGACAGCGAGTCTTCGGTAAGTGCCCCGGGGTGGCTGAGGTCTGCCTGCCGCAGTGTGCTGCTGTGTGTGTACATCGCACCCCACGCTGGTCGGCACTGTTCCCTCTCCACACACTATGCGTAGCCAAAGAATGTTTGGCCCTCCCATTAGCCTAGAGCCCCCCATATTTGGGGCTCCAGTTAAGCTAGAGGAATGCGATTTGCCTGTAAACCCGCATAAGGTTGCTGCTCTGTAATAGACTTAAGTCTGCGGTGGGTGTAGGAACCCAGCTGGGGAAGGTGGCCATCACTCTCCTGCAGACGTACCCTTGCGGATGGGAAGGTAAGTCAAATAGCTTTTTAGCTCCCGAAGGTGGTTTTCCTGCTCTACTGAGATTACCCCTTTAATGGTCTACAGACTCAGACATCATTTTCTCTCCGGGCTTCCCATTCTGTTCATGACCCCACTCCCCCTACCCCAGCCCTGGTGGTTGACTCTGTTTCCTTTCTGGGTCCTAGGCATGTCTGCTGCACTCAGCGGGAGGGGCACCTGGTTTCCGACACAGCCTTTGTTGGTTGGTTTGTTTTCCTTTTGAAACCAAACAGTCCTAAGGTCATCTCCACTGCAGGCGGCATTGCGGAGTTCATCTCCGAAAAGCTTTTAAAGCACTTATGAACAGAATTGAAAAGAAGACAGGGCTTGAGAGAGATGAGTTTGCGTGTGTAAACTGAATCAGAGGTATGAGGCCGCTTGACTTGTAGCAGATCCATTTCTAGCGGTAGACAGATGTGGGGTTTGTGTTTTGGGGATGTGGCTGGTCCTGTCTGGAAGAACTGGGCCAGTGTCATGCAAGGTCACGGTGTAAACGTTCTGGAAATACTCAACCCAATGGGTTTTGTTGATCCCTTTGCAGATACACCTTCCATACAGTAAGATTCCCCCGAAACAAGACTTCTGTAGGTAGAGTCCGTTGCAATACGTTGTATTGGTTCTAGCAGTTTTCAGTTTATTTTTTTAAATGCAAACTGTAAGATTAGGAAATATGTGATCTGTACTGTAATTGGTGTCCTCTGGGAAGGTTGGTACCACCATCAGTAAGTGCATATTCAAGACTCCTGCAGACTGATCTGAGAGGAATTCAAGGCCACAGAAATGTTTTTCCTCTTCTGAGAGACAGGCAGCTGTGGTCTGTTCTTTCTGGGTCAGGAGGAGCATCGTGGTGGTGGCAGCCAGACCCCTCACGGTGTCAGCAGGTCGGAGGGTTGACGGCCACCTTAGATGTGCTGAGGCAAGCACACCAGGCCTGGATATTGACTCCCTCTGAAATCTGAACTGAGATGTTCTTATCCAGCCGCCAGAGCTTATCGTTGCTGGGAAGACATCAGATTGAATTGTTCTCACGTGACGTAAGCTCTGTGCATAGCTTCCTTTAGATCATGCTGGAGGCTTAGGAGAATGAAGTATGCTGCACGTTTAACTTTTGAGCAGAAACTTAGAGGAATCACTGGAAAACCAATTACAGTAGAAGGTGGTTGGTCCACAGTACTTAAGGGATAAGTATAATCCCCAGTCAGAAAGTATAATCTTGATTTAGAAATTTTGAGTTCGAGGGGCGCCTGGTTGGCCCAGTCGGTGGAGCATATGACTCTTGATCTTGGGGTTGTGATTCAAGCCTCACGGGTGTAGAGATTACTTAAAAATAAAAAAAAATTAAAAGTCCTTAAAAAAAAGAAGAAAGAAATTTTGAGTTTTGAAGACACTTCTAGAATGGGGAGGGGCCAAAGCAGCCCTTAGCCTCATTCATTGTTCTTCCTGTCTAGGGCTCCGGGACAGGGTAGGTGAGAAAAACGCCCTCCAGATTGCTGGCCTTGGGGTGGACCTCCTACTACGTTTCTGTAGGAAAAGCATACTCAGCGGGTGTCACTGTCTGAACCCAGAGACCAGATCCTTGTGAATAGGGAGGGGTACAGGCACCCCTCTTTTCACTGTGCTTCGCAGATACTGTGTTTTTCACAAATTGAAGGTTTGTGGCAGCCCTGTGGTGAGCAAGTCTGATAGGCACCATTTTCCACCAGCATTTGCTCACTTCGTGTCCCCATCCCGTTTTGGTAATTCTCACAGTATTTGAAACTTTTTCATTATGTTTATATTTGTTATGGTGATCTGCGATCAGGGATTTTGACTCCCTGAAAGCTCAAGGTGATGGTTAGAATTTTTTAGCCATAAAGTACTTTTTAGTTGAGGCATGTACATTATTTTTTAGACATCATGCTGTCACACACTTAATGGACTACAGGGTATTGTAAACCTGACTTTTATGTGCTCTGGGAAACCAAAGAATTCATTTGATTCGCTTTAGTGTGAGATTTGCTTCTTTGCGGTGGTCTAGATGATCTCTGAGGTGTGCCCAAACTTGCATTATCTGGGTTCTGTCTTAGCACTGGAATAAGCTCCATTGTCTTGTTTGTCTCCTATTATGAGAGAATATGCTGACTTTCTAAATAATTGAAACATTAATTTTTGACATTTTTATAGGACCTTCTCCGGATTTTTTGCATTTTTGTCTTAACTTAGAAAAGCAAGGTATGAGACACAAATAGTGTGATTCCAGGAGCATGGAGGCAGGAGATGGCCCTGCATCAGCCCTGCACCCTCACTAGCACCACGCTGAGGAGGGCCACATGACCTGATGGTGTGCAGGGATGCCTTGTCCTAGTGGCTTGTGCCATGACACGTGGCATTTTCCACTCTTGGGATGCCTGCCTTGTGCCAAAGGGAGGCTACAGGGGTCTCCAAGGCATGTTGCTGCATTTCTCCCAAGAGCAGACCTAGGTCTGCTTTTCTCGCTCATACCCGGGTCATCTGAGGCTGTTGAGGAACTTGAAATGGATGGACAGAGGGACAGATCCATTCCTTATTCATTTTCCACCATCTACTGACTGCCTCTGCCTCTTGCCAGTGCTCTCTTACCCCTTCCTCTCCTTCTTTGTCTTCTTTCTTACTCATTTTGGCTCTTCTGAGATGAGAGTCTGGCTTTCAAAGCAACCACCAGACCGGTGTGAGCCCTTAGTCTAGCAGTCGTAATCTGAGAGCACATCGTGTCACGCCGGGGTCAGAAAGGTTTCTGATGGGGTCTGCATTCTTGCAGGACACAGAGACGTCGTTTTGCTTGCCTCATCTCTCTTGCAGTTTGGGCCTGGGACTTTCCTCTGATTGAGGCTACCGCGGGACACCTGACTTCTGAATAAGCACAGTAGCATCTTTTGAGCCCTTCTTCCAGATAGGCCTCGTGAAGATCTCCTGAGTGATTCCAATATAAATAAGCGAGGCGCTTGCTTGACGTTATCTTGCATTTAAAAATTCTCAGTATTTCTCTGTTTTGAAAAATAAAAATATACCCAACGCTGAGCCCTAGGACATGTGTGCTTTTGGGGGAGGAGAAGTGCGTATTTTGGAAAAACCAACACAAACATTGCCACATTCCATGCTAGCCAGTGTGAGTGATGTCATGGGTGTTTTCGGAGGTATCTGTCAGGCGTGTTTTATCAAGGAATGAACAGAATAACCAAATAATCCTGTTCGGGCTCTCTTTCCTGTCCCAACTCTCAATACCTACTCTGTTTTCTACCATCTTCTCTCGCTTTTTCTCCACTCCATAATCGTCATTTCTTCTCAGCAGCTCACGGTGAAAACAGCACGGTTTCTTATTCTCCATGTTCCGCTACCCTGCCTTCCCCTGCGAATCCAGAGCTCATTGAGTCTAGAGAATTCAAAGTTCATACCTGTCCTCTGTGTGCTCCTCATACATCCTTATGTATTTCCCCACACTTACTCTATGGATACAGCTGGAAAGCTGTGCCCACAGCTAAGAATACCCAGCAGCAACATTTCCAGTAAGCTGTGCAAGTTGTCAGTAGTTAGCTTTCCAGGTGCTCTACCCTCCGTCCTTGAGAAGGTTATTCGGAAAGAGACAGCTTACACCTGGGATGTGGTCGGCCAAGGGCCCTAGCTGTGGTTTAGGGAGCTATTTTCCTCTGCCAGACTTGAAAAATCCCAGAGAGATCTCCTTCTTCCTCACGTGTATTATGTTTCACAGTAGGATTTGGGTACTAATTTCTGGTCATACACTGCATTTGTTTTTTTTTGTTTTTTTGTTTTTATTGGAGAGAGAGAGCACAAGCAGGGGGAGCGGGCAGGCAGAGGGAGAGGGAGAAGCAGGCTTCCCGCTGAGCAAGGAGCCCAATGTGGGGCTCTATCCCAGGACCCTGGGATCATGACCTGAGCCGAAGGCAGACGCTTAACCGTCTGAGCCACCCAGGCGCTCCTGCATTTGTTTCTGATGGAGAAAAACCACCTTTTGCTAAAGATAACATAATGTGTGTGTTGGCCACACGAACAGTCATCTGTTCCATTCCTTCCTCTTAAAAAAAAAAAAAAAATCCATTAAGATTATTTGGCCAGGGAGGAGCAGAAGGAAAGAATTAGTATAGTGCCTTGCTACAGAATTCCAGTTCTATTTCTTATAGAAATCATAATTTTTTTTGCCAAAACTCTGTTTCTGGGTGATGTCATCCCTTTGCCTCTCCAGATCACTGATGCTCACACCGTCCTATTGTGCTACCATCTCCCTGAGGGCCTGGAAAGATAGAGACCTCAGGGTCCCACCCATAACATTCATGACCGTGACCTGGGAGGTCTGGAGCCTGAGAATTTGCATTTCTTAGCACATTCCTGGTGATGCTGATGCTGCTGAGCTCGGGACCACACTTTAAAAACGATTATGTAACCTGAATGGTTTTAGACATATTTACAGCAGTCGTTGAAATAGTACATTTGCTTAATCCTACATTTATGGGAACTATATATAAACATGCTTACAGGTGAACATTTATCTCTTCTAAAGTTTCCTTTAGGTAGAACTCTTGGCTTCTGTTGAGTGGAGTTAACCTCCTAAAGTGCTTTTCTGTCTGTTTTTTTCAGCTGTTTAGAATTTGGTAACAGACAAGCGGCCTTTGCTCTGTGCTTCATAGAGAATG